AGAAGGCTCATTCGAGATTCGAGTTTCGAAATACGAGATTCAAAATTCGACATTCGAAATTCGAGTTTCGAGATTCAAGATCCAAACTAACCAATCAAAAGCCGGCTTAGGATTCAATTACTCCCCTTTGCTAAGTTTTGACCTTCAAGGAATCGTTGAATGTATTCAAACCGAAGAGGTCATTTGATTATATTACAATGCAAGAAAGAGTGTTATACATGTATATATTAGAAAGAAATTAGAAAAAAATATTGGGTTTTTGGTCTCCAAAATATGCTTAAATTTATATTATAACTTCTTAAACATTATAATAGATTTATATCAAGAATATCTATATCGTATTATCTACTTTGTTTACAGGATTGATGTCATAATAATAAATATTGTTCATCGGATTCAAAGAGCAAAGGGAGGGGGGAGGGGGAGTATTGCAGTCGATGAGAATTATTAGTGTGCAATTAAACAAGTGACTAGCGATTAATGATAAATGGTAATAGGGGTTTCAAAGTGGATATAGTTTGTGACAAGGTGTTAGAAAGTGACCAGTGACCAAGTTTGTGAAACCTAGAGACAGCCCCTTAAGTACGGATGGCTGAAATATATATGCTTAATAAAGATAATGATTTGTCTTTGTTTTGATCCGTAGGAAATAATAAAATAAAAAATCACTGTAAAGCCCCCCCCCCCCAAAAAAAAAAACAAAAACAAAACCGGGGTTATCACGTTATTAGACGTTATTTTTGAAAGAACACATGCACAAAGTTGCTATGTTTTCTATAGTAAATTATATCGGTAAGAAATATAAGGGGAATATGGTTGGGGGGAGGGAGAGAATGGCTATGTTGTTTATTTTATTACAACGGTAGACAAAGTCAGTGTCAATCTTGCGATGCATGGGCAAAATAAGTATATATTCGATAATTATTTATAAGGAAACCGCTCGGATCTCGCAAGATACATGATCAATCAATACACAAGTTTCAATACACATGATGTTATGGCCATAGAGAAAAAAAAGATACAAAAGTATTTAATAATGATAAAAAATTAATTATTTTAACAAAACAATGGACCCTCTATACACCTTTAGGACTTTGAAAAAATCGTATAGCCTAAAGGAGTACGTATTAAAATTACTTAGTTCACGCCTTTTTAGTGTACACAGAAAATCTTGAAAGACATCGTAGTAGTGATAAAAAAAATCGCGTTCGCGCTTTCCCAATGATGTATATTCCGTATAGGCAAAAAGGCTGTAGCCTACACTTCATTTTCTTGATGTGAAAAAAAATATTTATTTATAAATGTATTTGGTGGAAAAATGGGGGAAATTTGATCATAAATCTTATTTATCACAGACTACCTATAAAAAACAAAAGTGAATTTATTGTTTCCTAACTATTTATTTCTAAAGTTTGGCATTTATTGGCCACGGCTGGTTCAGATCAAATTATTTAAAATACATGTGTACAGTGGGTGCCGACCCAATTGGTTTTTGGCACACCTCCAATCAAAGCCAACAAACAATCAATCAATCAATATTAACCGTACACATGTCAAAGTTTTAAACGATAAGACTGGCGTTTCTTCCAAATTCTGCAGGTGCGCCAGCCTTATGCATCAATAAATCAATATTCAATTTCATCAATCGAAATTGAATTCAATCAATCAATCAATGTTCAATTCAATCAATCAATATTCAATTCAATCAATTAATGTTCAATTCAATCAATCAATATTCAATTCAATCAATCAAGGTTCAATTCAATCAATCAATGTTCAATTCAATCAATCAATATTCAATTCAATCAATAAATGTTCAATTCATATCAATGTTCAATAAATCAATATTCAGTTCATTCAACTCAATGGATTGTAGTAAGCTCATGTTTAAGCCAAGCAATATTTGAATAAATCATCAATGTTCAATGTTAATTATGTACAAGTTCATTGTGTTCGATTCCAGAATTATCAACGTAATCATGTTACATCTGCGCCCTGTTAACAGCGGCGCGAGTCAAGATGATTTGTGTTAAGCTAAATCCGCCAAACGTGCATAAATACTCATGTAATATGCACGCCGCCACAAAAGTGGGGGTAGCTTAACACCCTACTCGCAAATCCAGCCGTGACCGCTCCAATATACCAATCATAAAGAATACACATTATTGTTGCAGTTTATTATAGATGCAAGCCCACTTTTAAAATTTTCAAGGAACAGTTTATTACCAGACATAGAGAGGTGTATCCCGTCGGGGCGGTAATTGTCGAGACTGAGATGGATATTTGACTGCTTAATGTACCCTCCGTTATAATGGGTTAAAATATGTTTGGCAATTGCACTATTTACTCGCGCCCGACCTCTTTCGAGGTCGGGCCTCCCTTCACATTTCCAAGCAATCCTAGTTATCATTTGCGACCAAATTATCTTAGTGTTCGGGAAGAGCTTTTGAATCTTTTTCAAATCACCTTTTATTGCAACTATCAATTCAACTAGATGAAATCCCGCGCAAGCGCGGGGAATTGAATTTATACCACTACCGACAGAAAAAATCTAATAATAATATTATATATATTGTAGTTTCTACTGACAGCCTACAGGCTTATAACTGGAAGAAATACTTTGTGAAGTAGAAGTACGTCTCCACCCCCCCCCCCCCCCGTGTAAAACTTAAATAACAATATCATTAATTGACGTTTATTGAGAAACCTGTTATATACTATGTTATGGATATTGTATATACTATGTTATGGATATTGTACTTCAGATGCTCTTATTTCATTTCCGTCAAGAATAAAAGCAGTGAATATGCACATTTTACTGAGAAATAGATTTTTTGGGGTAAAAATTCACAGGTACTTGGGTCTTGGTTTATAAATATGTATGTACCTTATTGATATGTAAAAACTGTACCTTACCTCTTTTTTTAACATATCAATAAGGTACATAAATATTTATAATCCAAGACCCAAGAACCTGTGTAAAAATTAGCTTTTATATAACGCCCTATGAATACAATGGCGGATTTAGAGGGGGGCCAGCCCCCCTCCCATTTTGTGTCCAAAATATACATAAAATTTAATAAGTCAATTTTTTTGGTGTGTGTCCGTGACCCCTACCCCAACCCCAAACTGGTTGCCCCCCCCCCTTTCAAGATTCCTGGATCCGCCACTGGAATAGGCCGAGTATTTGATACAAAAGACTGTATTTAAAAAAAAAAAAGAAATGTATTGATTAAAGCAAAATTTTACAGCATAATTGTATTTGAATAATGCCTAATTCATTAATATTCTCTTTTCATGTAAGCAAGTTTATTACGAAGTACAAATTGTACTTCGGGTTCGTTGCCACGATGCTCTCAATGAGGAATATATATACAAATTTTACCGATAAATTTATTAGGAAAACCTACTACATATATGTAATAGTAATATATAAATATATTCACAACTTACAGTATTATCAATGATTTACCATTATTTCAAAGACCATTCACACAAAAGCTTTTTTATGTTAAAGCAGCTATAATCACCTCGTTTTTCTTTTTAACATCGGGCTCGATGCTATATGATGTTCTAGAAGTTTCCGTCAATATTACGATCGGTGAATGACGAAAATAATCTGCACATTTTCCTTTTTAATCGGGTATCACAACTTATTTCCTTTATATCATTAAAATCAAGTTTTGATTGAATAATAAAGTGATGACGTTTTATGAAATAAATAAACGATTGCTTGTTGTCAGTTTCATTAAAAATTGCCAGTAACTTAGATCCGCCAACCGGAAACGCCACCGTACTCACGTTTTTGCTATTTCATGGCTGTTTATAGAAAATAAAAGTAGACTTTTAATTTAATGTACGATACTTACAATGCAAGTGAAATCTAAATATAGTTTACGGACATCATCTTGTATCGTGTGTATTCTCAGAGGAGTAAGTAAGAACTCTGGTGCACCCGTTTCGGAGTTTATTTGCAAAATTTATTAATTTATAAGTATAGATGGTCTTCATACGGCCAAGGTCATTTGCTCCACAATGTAATACCAAAAATTTTGGTGGATCGATAAATGCAAGTAAATGTTTTAACAATTTAAGAACACCACTCCAGCACATTCCTCTTCGACCTTGCCACAGTATATTATGCCTGTCGAGATTAAGGTCAGATGTGAATCCTAACTCAATCGCAGCTAAAAAGGCCCATGAAATTAATGATGAACCGATGATCCAAATATCTTGATAATGTTCTGTAACGAAAAAGATCTAATTTCAAGCTGTCATTCTATTTGACTGCCGGGATCCTAATATATAAGCGATAACAATCTGACTTCCACCTTCCTAACAATTTAATTGTTTCGTCATCAACGCCCTGAGAATGGAAGTATGTAGCTGCTCCAATTCTAAAGGAATGTGATTTATAGTTGCATCCAGATATACTGAGACGCGAGAGGCATTTAGTTAAGATTGAATTAAACTGATATCTAGTTAGCGGTTTACCACCGAAATGACAAAATAATTGACCAGAAATATTCGGTCTTTGTTGTAAATAATGCTGCATGAGTAATAACGGACAATATGGACCGCCGATAGCGGGGATAATTAACTGTGTTCCTTTGCCGTACTGGTCAGTCTTTGACCTCCTAATGTTAACTTCTAAGTAAGATGAAGACTCGTGTATAATGAGATCGTTCTTAAGTAATGCTGTGTTTGAATTTCTAGGGCCTACTGTAAATTCCCCGACTCGAAGAAAACCAAAAAAGGCCAACGAAAAAGCCGCGGAAAATAGACTCGCCTCGTAACTCGATGTGCATACAATGGGTAATGTATTAATTAATTTCTGGAGGAGTTGAATCGTTATTGGTAACCGTGTATCTTTGGAGTGTCTTTCTCTCTTCATTCCCTCTAGCATTTTTCGAATAATAAAATGTGAAGTATAATCCGGTAATTCTGAGGTGGAAATCTTAATCTTATGCGATATAGCTGCTAGATATGTTTTGACAGTGCTAACTGCGTAACCTTTGACGGAAAGGAAAGCGACAAAGTTTGTCAATTCCTCCAGAGTTACGGGGGTGGAACTCGGACCTGAACTTACAAAATAAATCGTAGCCGTTGTTGTATGCCGCTTTAGTATTGTCTGAGGTGGCCATGTCTATTAATCTAACGGTTTCGCTCCTGATATCAGTGAGTGAAATACTGGTGGAATCGGGGTTGGTTTTACATCTGCCTTTGGGGCTAGTTCCCGGAATTTGGTCCACTGTCGACGAGATAAAGCATCAGCAATATTATTATATAAGCCTGGGATGTGTTTCGCTTTAAATCTAAAATTATATTTCATTGAGAGATATACTAAATAACGAACGAAATGCATTACTCTTTTAGATTTTGATGTCTGTTTGTTCAAGATGAATACGAGGGCTGCGTTATCTACTCTTAATATAACATTTTTTGATCTGAAGTATTTTCCCCACAATGTCATTGCTAGAACTATTGGGACCAGCTCTAAAAAGGTAACGTCCCTCAAAGTTTCTGTTTCCCTCCATGTTGAGGGCCAAGCGAAGTGGGCCCATTTGCCGTTTAAGTACGCCCTGCACCCCAGGTTCTTACCCCCAGCACTGTCTGTATACAATTGAAGAATATCACTGCTTAACCAATCAACATCATTTAAATAGCATATGCCATTGAAGTGATTCAAGAAATTAAGCCACATGAGCAAATCGTCTTTAATGGATTTTGTAATGCGGATAAAATGATGTTGCCTTTGCACACCAATCATAGCATCATAGAAACGCCGATGGAAGGCGCGGGAAGACCGCACGGCTTTGGTGCAAAAGTTTAATTGACCTACCAGAGATTGCATCTCCTTCAAAGTGACTTTAGATTTATTTGTCATTTCTGTCAGCGAAATCTTAAGCTTAATTAGCTTATCGTTTGGAATGCGTACTTGCCCCAGACATGTGTCAATTTCCAATCCCAGATAGGTTAACTTTGTGACAGGGCCAACAGTTTTATCGATGGCAAGAGGAATTCCCAAAGCTTTACATAAATCGCCAAATTGTCTCATGAGTCGTAAGCAATCGTCGGGATTAGCTGAACCAGCAAACAAAAAGTCATCAAGATAATGCGTAACATGCGCGAAACCAAACTGTGACCTGACGGCCCATTCCAAAAATGAAGCAAATTTCTCAAATGTAGCGCATGCTATAGAACAACCAAATGGTAAACATTTGTCAATGTAGTATTTACCTTCAAATTTGAAGCCGAGTAGGCAAAAATCATTTGGTTTTATTGGTAATAGTCGAAAGGCGCTTTTTATGTCCATTTTGCCCAATAAAGCTCCTTTACCGAGCTGACTTATCATTTCGATAGCTCTGTCGAATGAAGAGTAGTGTACGGATGAAAGTTCTTTATCTATAAAGTCGTTGACGCTATTGTTATGTGGATATGACAGATGAGTAATTAAACGCCACCCCCCGCTAGATTTAGGAACGACGCCTATTGGAGACACCCTCAGGTTTGAGAGTGGTAGGTGATGGAAAGGGCCAGCCATGCGACCCATATCCACTTCACTTTGCAATATACTATGAATTTCGTTTGGGTACTGGTTTGCCGAAATTAAATTTTTACACTCCAAGTAATTACGCGGACCTAAATACTGAAGCGAAAATCCAAATTTAAACCCATTTAACAACTCATTACCTAATTTGTGGTTTGGATACGACTGTATCAATATTGAAAGTTGATTAATGTCTACTGGAGAATGACCGAGGTGCATTAGCCCCCTGGGGGTAGCGAAATCTATATTTTGGGATTTGTCCTGGGCGTGGTTGCTGATTTTGTGATTGAAAACGAAAAGGCTGCTTTTGTACAGAAGAGCGTAGAGCTGAATTGCGAGGACAAGTGAACATTGGGTGCTCAGATGAACATTTGATACAGCAATGTGCATAAATACAATAGGGTTTACTGCATGCACCCTTGTAGTTGAAATCAAAACACATGCCCTTCGACGGTTCAACTGCTTTTGGGGGATTGATTAGCGGAGAAGTTACGTATAACATCCAAAGTTCATTGTCAATTTCCCCCCATGCCAGAGAACTATTTCTTGCCTTCTTAAGCCTAAATTGTTCATCATACAATTTCCAGCCCGTGGGAGATCTATAAGAACCCAGTCTAACCGTATGCATATATTTAAGTAAACCAAGTGATTGATCGGGGTGTGCTTCAACGTAAACACTAGTAAAAACAAGAAACGCATCAGTCCATTTCCCAATGTCGGTGATTTTCCCACTTTTCCCCTGTTGAAGGACGAGTTCCCCGTCCACTAAATTGAGCTTGTTTTTCTTATCCCTTTCATCTGATGATTCCAATAAAACACCCAGATCTAAATACTCCCCATTTTGTATTTTTTCCCGTGTTTTTGGAGAGATGTTGTAACCCAATGAATCTGTTACGCTAACAATAGGTGTAGGTAAGTAAGCTGACGTACCTACTGAGCCGATAGTGGCAGCGATGTCTTCCTCATTGCTGGGCATCCCTTCACATGAACTGGTACTACTTTCTTTTACTCCCTCCTTTTGTGGGGCCTTGGTGGTAGCTGTCTCTTTTCTGGAAGACTTTTTGGCGGCTGTAACTGCAGTTGTATTTGACTTTCGTTTAGGCATCTCTCCGGAAAATTATTTGAAAAAAATTTCTAAAAAGTTTGCAGCACACCCAAAAACGTGTATCTTTGGAGTATGGTTGATAATTGACTGTTTCGATACTTGGCGCAGATATTGCGCGCGCATCATTCCACGTGGTGCGCTGTGATAAATGGATTTATAACGTATTCACTGCATAAATCCGATTATTTACCAGTTACTAGAATATTTTTTCATGCAATAAAAGTATTTTTAGCAATCCACACTTTTATGCCTATCCAACCTTTACAGTATACAAAACTTTTGATTTTTAGGTTGGGTTAGTAGGGAGTCAAACATAAAACATTTTAAAAATTATATAGATTATTCAGTAAAGAAGTTTCCATAATTTCCAAGCACTGTTTAAGGATTTTAAAATTTCTCAATTTTATTAAAAGTGGTCATGAAGATTTTAATTTCTGTATCATAAAAATATGTTTAAATGATTTATAATTATATTCACTGGAAAAATGACAATGATAGATGTCTCCAAGATCGCAGAAAGTGGTCCTACGATCCCCCCCCCTTCTGTTGAGAGGGGCGACTCCCTCCTTGCCTATACGCAATTCGGCAATGATGCGCTTTAGGTGAAATCTGTGCCTTCACATTAGCGTACACATTAGCCAAAGGGGATATAATACCACTGTATCCCAATAGGAGAAATATATAAAAATTAAGTTTTCAATTAAGGCTTTTAATACTTGAATTAATTAAAAATTATATAGACAATACAGACTGGAATTTATTTTATTCCATATCAAATAGTAGATCAGTCTAACTGCATAAATTCACCCTTAAATGTAATGAAATGTATCCTTAATTTAATTTCTGTGCAGTGTAAAGACGATCCTAAGTATTTCATATCAATAATAATTATTTTCTCCCTCATCAATGCGCACATTAAATAATTTATCGACATACTGCTTTCGCAATTCAACGATAAGACCATATAATATTATATATATGTATCTATTGTTTTGTTTAATGAGGAAAATAAGATTTTATACATATTTTTCAAAACATTACCAAAAATTCAGTTCTATATTGTTTTGATATATATAAAAAAATTTCTTGCATTATTATTTAAGCAAATGACCCATTTGTTAACAATATATTCAGTGATTTCTTGATAGTGAAAACTTATTAAAGGGGAATAATCAAATATTGAATCCGCCTTTTGATTGGTTATTTTGGATCTTGAATCTCGAAACTCGAATTTCGAATCTCGTATTTCGAATCTCGAATGAGCCTTCTGGGCTTTCGTAGGTATCTACCATGTTCTCCATATATCATAGAATTTAGTTTGGAAGACTTCAGGATTTTTACAAAATTTTAGAAGAAGTCTTACAACATTTACATTTTTCAAGAATACCATACTTTGCTTTCGTAACTTTCTCATACATATCCTTAATATTCAAATTGAAAGATCCACCTTTACAAAATGTTACACCTTAAGAAAATGTACAAGCCTACATGAACAAGGAATTCGTGCATTATTCTGAAATTGAAGCATTTATTTATTAATTACAGACAACTTCTTTAAAACATATAATTCAATGATCATTGAAATTTATTTTGGTAAGTATATTCTTTAAATCTTTTAGACAAACTAAGAAGGAATTCATTTTGTTGTCCTGGATGGATCTAGATCTGATCGTGTTAAAAGAAGGGGACTTTATATACCCGGGTATTGCCAACTTAAATCGTATAAATCGATCCTCTAAAGCTACAAAACAGAGTGTTCACTTGTCAGTAAGTATCCAGTAACCTAATACTACAACTCTTATAATATCTCCAAAGATTTGATTTTGGGGAAAATTATTCTTCTGAAACACATAACTTAAAATGAAATAGTTACATGGAACTTAGTAGATCTATAAAATCAGAAAGTATTTAAAGAATTTGGACGATCAAATTTAATCAATTTGATAAAACAGGTATTGTTCTAACAATTTTCTAATAAAAATAACTCAGAGGTATCCCTTGTCGGTGAAATCTGTAAAGCATCGAATTTTTGGATTTTAAATTCGTTTTCGAATACCAACGCATCGAATGAATATTCGAATATTCGTTGACTTCCCCTTTGTAAAACATATGTTATTAGCTTACAGTGTAAAAGAAGTTTAGAAGTTCAAAAACAGACGTACGCGTCCAGTTTAGAAGATTAACACAGTGACGTAATGATGTAAAAAAAATAATAATCAAGGATACAGGCATTATATTTCAATCGAAAAAAAACTAATTTGTCTTATTTTTGAGAAATGTACATGTAACTTGGATTTCTATAAAACATTGATATCATAATGTAATATTTTATCAAAACTAGGACTGCCAGATTACGTTGATCACTTATTCATATTACTGGACCTCCCAAGGAAAAATAATTGTTTCTGTGCTTAGAGACATTCACTGCTTATGGCTTTTTTTAGGTCCTCAACCACAGAATAATTTTTAGGTTTGTTCAGATAGTTCCTCCAAGACTATTGGAAAAACTAAAGAAATGAGGTTCGATGTACCTCTGGAACAACCTTTACAGTTCTTTAGTAGTTTATCGTATTTAGCACAAGGTCGAGAAGCTCTTTTCCAGAAATGACACAAAGCTTTACTTTAAAGAATGCTAATAAAATTGATATTATTTCTTAACCTTATTTTAAAAAAAATGTAATGGCTGTTAGATATTCTGTTTCGAATTAATATCGGCCGCAGGAGTGACCAGTCTATTTGTGGTTGTGTTAGAATGTGCATATGGGAAAATGAAAAGTTATTTCATCTTTGCTTCGATAGAATAATTCCTTATTCATAACATATATAAAAGTTATGAATGAAATGTGGCAATAACAAATAGTATTCAAGCTCAAATGTCAATTCAAACATTACAAATCAGAAGCAGAGCAAACATGGACCTCTAAAACATCAATGGTGGGATTAGGTGCCATGAAGGAGTGAGCATCCCCTGCCCAGTGTCGTCACACCTACCATGTGCTCCTTGTCATGATCGGAAAAAAAACGGAAGAATCCGTAGACAATTCAATGTGTAAATAAGTATGAAAAACGTCAGTCAGCATTTTACTTAATGACAGATTGTTTTTGCTGACAGGGTCATTCTGTCGACCATAGAACTTGCAAAATGATGACATTAAAAGAGACTGTTGATATCGTTGTTTCATCTTGTTTGTTAATCGTTAACCTCGTTTTAGAAATTGTTCTAGAGCATGCTCTTGCGTATCGAATCAACCGGGAGACATTAATCCCATATGCAGGTAATAAGGATATATTGCTACATAAGTAAGTGAAGTTGACGATTGAAAAGTTGAAGTTATCACGATTATCATAAAGTTTGCTTGTTAGGTTACCATTAACGTTTTCTTCTAGTAAAATATCCAAATATGCAACAGATGTGTCAGACTCTGTGGAATCTAACTTCAAGCTCACTGAGATATTTCTATGATTAATTGATTGATTGTGTGTTGATTTACGTCCCATTCCAGAATTTTTCACTCATATAGAGACGTCACCATATATGGGTGAAGTGCTTCAAATTTAGACCTTTATTTGGCACTTAGGGCCATTGAGCAGTCAGGGTTCTTTATCGTGCCAAACGCCTACTGCGACAGTATAGTTTTATGGTCTCATCCGAAAGACCCGCAACATTTACTTCAAAGTGCTGAACGCTTGGCGAAGGAACAGCTGCTACCTATTTTTTTATCGACTTAGGTCAGTCGCTAACGTGATTCGAACATACAGCCTTCGGATCACGGAGCGAGCTCTCTACCGACTGAGCTACCGTGACGGTCTAGTCGAAATATGAATGGAAGTAACTATTTTTAATTGATAATACGTAGTCGATATATCTAAATGTCGAGACGAATGCCACAGGAAATGTTTTCTTCTTCTAATAAATAAGATTTTGAATAAATTCTGCTTAACCTGAATTTAAAAAAGTTTTAAATTTCGCATACTACTAAGTCTAAATGGTTAATATAACGTTTCAATTTGTTTTCCATTTCACATTTTATATAAAAAAAAAATGTTGCATGAACTGCTCTCCAACATGAAAGTGCGAAAGATATAAAAGCAAAACGTATTGTTTCCAGATATTATTCATTATTGTGTCTAAAATAACAGATTGTAAGCCAAGTTTAAAGGAGTGAATTTTGTTTTGAATACACTTCAGTTGCAAATGGTATTATGATTTTTTTCTGCAATTCACATTTATAGTCATAAATGGAATGGGTGTTGTCACGTGACAAAATCAGGTGGAATTAGTACGTCTTTTAATTTTGGTCCGCATTCAGACATTCATAATTGATACTTTTAGATATTTGTTTCATTTGTGTTTAATTCAAATAATATAATGATATTACATTCCTATCCTTTATCGCGCGCAATCTGATTTCCATTTCCATGAATTTATTTATTTGATTAATATTTAGCAATTGATCATTGAAAAATAAATCAAAACACAAATGCACAGAAAATTCAGGCAAATGTACAATTTGCAATACTAATGTATCATATTCTTTTTCTACTTTGAATTTTCTCTTTGGACTCTTTCTTGTATAAAATATTCTTAAGATGCTAAATATATTGTTTGCGGCCGATTTGATGCTTTGCTTAAATTTAACTTGTGATACATGTACCTGTAATTCATATAGATAATGTTATCAAAATGCGGTCTTAGAATATATGATACTTGTAAGTTCTTTGTTCCCGATCCGATCCTATGGATCCGCTGAGCAGTGTAGGGGGGACAGCTTCTAAAGGGTTTGTATAGGGGGAAAATAACTCGCGGTGTTAATATTCGCTATATTCACGGTGTTAATAAATCCGTGAATTCAAGAAACAGTGAATAAGTTTTCAATAACCTCCATGTTATATTTGGAAATTTGAGAATAGATAGACTACGATAGGTATATATACGTGCACTACATGGTCATTTCAGTAATTATGAGTCGTACTTGTCATTCAGTTATTCTAATTATCACGCTTTACTTAATTCAAATCAGCAGATAATAACCTGTATTTGTTAAAAAAGAGGTTTTAACAGCCAACGCTACATGTTTCATTAATCAAAACACATGGGTCATGAGTTTTGATAACCCGTGCGTAACTATGTTACCACGTGTATTTGTTACCTGCATTATCATGCGTATTAGTTTTTATCGGCATTTTGGTTTTAAAAAATCATTCAAATAATTATCGAACTTGTTGAAGATGTGGAAGGATATTATTTCGTCGATCTACATTAACACATTTCTTACCTTCCAGTGTTTTTTCCGCCGCGATGTATTATCCCTTCGGAAAGAAGATCTTGGGGTGTACATGCACTCATCGTAATAGCATATAAGAAAGTCATTCGACGTTTATAGTCAAGGACTTTTAATAACTGCACTTGTTTTAATTAATCGTCAATTACTTATTAAATCTAACTATTTTATATAAACCTACCCTGTTGTTCGTGAAGTGAATACATAACGCTAATTAATGTCGTTCTAGCTATGCTATGGATTTAACGGATATAGACAAGGGAGGTAACTTTTATTATTCCGCGAATTCAACAAACCGCGATCGTGTCAGGGGAGAGAAAAACGTGAAAATTACAACCCGTGAAATTAATCCCCTATACAGTACTTTACAATGAAAAGAAATTAAATTTCATTAGAAACAAATTTCCTAACTCTCTCTCTCTCTCTCTCTCTCTCTCTCTCTCTCTCTATATATATATATATATATATATATATATATACTGAAATAAAATATATATATATATATATATATATATATATATATATATATATATATATATATATATATATATATATATATATATATATATATATATATATATATATATATATATATATATTTATTTCAGTTTTTTTTTTATCTTGCCCCCCCCCCCCAAAAAAAAAATCACAATTAATCCTAGGTATCAAATGCTAAAATTAAATGGGCATGTTTTCAAAATTTAATACCAAAATATTAAAATTACATACAAAAAAATCAAATCAAATCGAAAAATTAAGTATTTTATTATCATGTTTCATTTCTCTGACATCGATTCTTTTTAAAACTCTTTTCTAGAAAGGAATAATTGAATTCAATATCGCATTTCTTTCGTTTAATATCAGCTGGGGTATTTAACTTTGTTCCGCACAGCCATAAATGAGAATTATTTAGAAAGTAAATTTGCTTTGTGGTTTGCAAACTCTATTTCTTAAAACTTGTTTTGCAGGCAATCATAAGTATTATAAGACCCTGATCGGAAAACATGTTTGTATTTAGCTCTGCTTTTTGTTTTCTTTTAATATCCATGGTCTATTACGTAAGTTCTATGCATTTTCAGGAAAATCAGTTTGAAAGAGAAATTCAATTTGATAACCTTTTGCCGACGCAGTCTTATCCATATATTCAAACCAGGGAGACATTTTCTCTGCAGCGATGCCTGACCGTCTGCAATAGTTTAGAGAAGTGTATTTCTGTTGTATATAGTCAAGATTTACGAATTTGTAAACTTCTGAAATGCTACCTCAATTTTCTCGAAGTTTCTTCCCCGCAAAGTAGTGAATGGATGTATGTCACAAGAGTAACTGGTAAGAAATGAATTTTTCACATAAGATTAAAAAGAAATAGTGAAATAAAGTTTATGTCTTTTTTAATGATAAAGCGAAAAAGATTCTGTAACGTTCAATATTATAAGCAAGCCATCTGTTCGTTAATGGAAACTTAATATATCAGTTTTCCCTTCCTGATATACCGGTTTTCAAAATTTCCATGTTCATTTTCGACTTATTCCTGCCAGTGCCCTAAAAAGAAAACTTACCCCCCCCCCCTCTTTTGTATTTTCCTTGTTTCTTTTGGAGAAATTCTGATGTTCTACCATGGGAAAATTGCAGATGGTTTTGTTTATACATTCTGACCCTATAGTGCTTTGTAAATATGTTTAAATGCTCTTTCTGTTAATTGTGGCCTTTCAAATAAAGAACTTATATCACACTTATTTACTTTCGGTCGGCAGATTTTTACTACCTTATAAATAAGATGATGTAAAGACCATTTTCAGAGTATCTGTTTAAAATAATTTTGAATTTACAGTATCATGGAGATAATGTAAGGTGTATTGTTTCTGAAACCAGAAAAATGTTTCATTGAATAAAGTTCATTTCCATAGAATGGAGTTAATTTCATTTAAAATGTACATTTTTCTGTAATACCATTATATAGGAAGTTTGTCAGAAGTTTAATTATCCTATCTCATAAGTATACCGACCATGGATGACTTAATTGCCAAGATACATGTATTTATTTCGGGTTGACAGCACTTGGAGCTTCGTCATTAGTCCTAGAAATGATTTATATCTTAAATATTTCAGTAGAGTCGGATATAGAATTTTCTATTTTAATATTCAAATAAAACAATAGTAATGATTTACACATCTTATGGATAAGCACCATTTAATTCTCTCTTTAAATATCAAAAAGGCACGATGCTAAATTTGAAACAGTATTCTTATTTTAGGTTGTCCTTCTGGGTGGAGGCGCTACATGGAACATTGTTACCTTTTCGAACAAGTTTCGTTAAACTGGAATAATGCAAAGGTTGTTTGTACCATTTTCAAAATCATTTATGATACAAACAAGTTAACAAGAAAGCGATTTTGAGTGGTTTCAATTTCTTCAACTCAATGTTTTTGTTCTATTTTCTGTGAAGTTATATATATATATATATATATATATATATATATATATATATATATATATATATATATATATGCTTTTTTCTAAAGATCAGTTATGAATGCTAAACAGACGACTAACTTTCTATGTGCACAAATGATCACCTACCTTTTGAACATTTTTCAGACCAACTGTTCTAACAAAGGAGCATATCTAGTCGAAATAGACTCCAAAGAGGAAGATGACTGGATTGTTGAACAAATATCGATGCGCAATGCAGGTAAACATTTAATCAGAATAAATATGTTCCGTTTCAAAAGTAGTGTCTACATGTGTATGTATTTTCTGTCTTCGAATTGAAACAGCTTTTTAAATAAATACATTAATTTTTAAATGCAGAAACGTATACAAGTATAGTGGGCAAAACAAAAACGGCAAGACTGATTTTGACCACCCCTTGTGTTTCAGCTAATAGCTTTTGACATATGAATAAATGAATAACAGAAACCACTGAAGAATGACTCCATATTTGACATAGCCACTTTGATTCACCATGTTTGCTTAAATTTTTAAAGTTCTTAAGTGTTATGAAAATCTTGATTTAAATCTGAAGATTAGGTAAAAAGGTTATAATAAATACAGTTACTCATAAAATCAAAAGATACACACTGAGAATCTCCTACGCTTTTTCAATTTATACTTGTTTTGTCATAAATACAGTTACTCATAAAATCAAAAGATACACACTGAGAATCTCCTAGGCTTTGTCAATGTATACTTGTTTTGTTTGGTCATACTCTCATGAGGTAGACGACCTGTTCTGGAGAGAATTTAAACTCATTAAATTAACATTACCTTAACGGCAAAAGTAGAAGCTTCTGCTATTCTAATAAAATCAATAAAGTGTTTTAAATGAGAGAAAACTTCATCATCAGTATCATTTCAAATTCCTAATTGAGCAATGATCCCCTATATAATGGGGAAAAAAAATGTTTAATATGCAAGGGATGTTGTAAATTGTGACAGATGGCGAATTATAATTTATTTAGAACATTTAATCAAGACATGCGTATCTGAATTGAAAAAAAAAAGATTTCCTAAACTTGAGTTACTACTATTATCATATTTATTATCATGAAGTTTGTAGAGCATATTCTAAGAAGTTCCTGTCCGTGACAAATACTAATCGATAAAAATGGTATCAACTGTTCCTTCGCAATGTGCTCAGCATGAACTGAGAGAAAACCGAATTCCCTTGTGATGACAGGAGCAAGGCAAATTATAAAATTAAAGAACCCTTAATGCTCAGTGGCCCTTGGTGTCGAGTAAAGATCGAAATTTGAAACCCTTTACTGCTTATTAGTTCCGTCTCAATTTTTCGCAAGGGGCGTAAACAACATACAATCAATCAAACAATTAATCTTTTTATATAATCATTATGGAAATGGTTTGAAAATTGACAAGAAAAGATGGAATAATATCATTTAATTTTAATCTTTTGTGAATATTTAAAAAATAATAATTTCACATATTAATCATTTACATTTTGCACATAGGTGAAGACGAAAATCAGTTCCTTGGAGCAAATTCTGAAGCAGAACTTGGTGTGTGGAGATGGAGTTCGAATAATGCACTTATATCCTATAGCAATTTCTGGCCAGGTCAACCAAATCTTTATGCCGCCGAGAGATGTGTAATTCTTGACTGGATTGCCATTCATGGGACTTACAAATGGGCAGACACAAGATGTTTAATGGCAAGGAAGTTCATATGTGAAAAAGACATGTGATGAGATGAATAAACAATAGCCACTTACGAATACTGCATAAATGCTTTTAACTTTGTTGATATGCAAACAAAAACAATATAATTCCCCTTGTAGGGGAATAAAAGAGGACGTTTTTAAAGATAAGAAATAAGTTTAATGAACAATAAAAACAAGCAAATAAAGACGCACAGAAACAAGAAATGATTAAACAAGCGAAAAATGATAGAATGTCGTGCTGAAATAAGTGCAATTAGAAATAATAATTAATAAATATTAGTGCCGATAAAAATCAGAAAAACTGAAATGATAAAACAGAAGCTGATACATTCTGTTCCAAAAAGAGGACAGAGAAAACAAATATGGATACTGCTAAAACAGAATTTTAGTAATCAACCATACAAATTAACACTCACAAAATCATACATCTGGAATGCAGATAGATAGATAGATAGATAGATAGATAGATAGATAGATCAAGATAAAACCGATGAAAAAATCTCCAGGAAGGAAATGGAAATCATAATGAAAAACCGGAGAGGGTAAAGAAATGGCAATGACTGCCTGAAGTAGTATTTTAGTAATCAACCAATACCATAATCAACAACTTTGAAGACGACCTCAACGATATCATCTTCACAAAAGAGATAAACTAAGAATTCGGAAATATACATTCCTGGATGAAATGTATGGAGATATCGAAAAGTATTCTAGCTCAAAAGTCCATTAAACAATACAAATTTAGGAGCAGAGCAAACACGGACCTCTAAATCATCAGAGTTGAGATCAGGTGCCTTGGAGGAATGAGTATTCCCTGCCGACCGCTGATATTCTTGTTTCATCAACTTGTTTTTCAATAACTTACCTCGTTTTAGAAATTGTTCATACGTAGAGCATGCTCTTGCGTATCGAATCAACTGAGAGATATAAACCCCGTATGCAGGTGATAATATGCAGGTGATGAAGGTACATGTATATTGTTGCATAAGTAAAGGAAGTTGACGATTGAAAAGTTAAAGTCATCACCTTTATTATAAAGCTTAGTTGTTAGAGTACCATTAACGTCTTTTTCTAGTAAAATATTCAAATATGAAACAGATGTGTCAGAATTTGTAGTTCCTTTTATCTCAAGCTCACCGGGATATATCGTATCGACATAAGAATGGAAATAACCATTGTTAATTGACAATACATATTGTCGATATATCTAAATGTCGAGTTGAAGGCAACAGCAAGTGTTTTCTTCTTTTCATGTACACAAGTTTTAAACAAATTCTGCCTCATATGAATACAAAACTAGATCTGCTAATAACGGGGCGCAATTGTTACCCTTGGAAATTCCAATAGATTGTTGGAAGACCTGGTCTCCAAAAATCCCATAATTATTGTCAATCAGAAACTCAAGCAACTTTTTTAATATCAAATTCAGAGTAATTGTGTGTACAATCAGAATGTTTAATGATTTCCTGAAACTTTTACTTAGGTCTTCCCTAGAGTACTTATAATTCGCATGATTAGAAATCCACCACTTCCTTAACAAGCAAATTGGCAGTCATTTTCACGCTGATCACCTGTACAGCTAATGAAAGACACAGGATAAAGCTCATTATCCGATAATTAGAGTTTATATAAAGTTAATTTTACGACTAAGAATATTTTTTTGTAACTAGGTAATTTACCAAAACCGTAATTTTAACCAAAACATTTATTAATGTTTTATTAGAATTATTATTAGATTTATAAAGTATGTTTTATCTTTAAAATCAATGCCCCACTCACACTACGATATAAAATGTACATTCCCTTGTTTATTTTAGTGAACTCCGACGAATGCAAATTTCCGAGTACAATTTTCTTTACAGGAAGAAACAAAATAGTTCCTTTGTTCTCAAAATACAACATAATCCAGTGATAGTAATGATCCTCTCACTGTTGCATTCACTTTGTCTTTTATATGATTATTCCCAAAATGCATCTTAATTCAAGGCATTAGGTGATAATCTTCGTGACATTATAACGGCGACGCGGGTGTGTTAAGGCTACACCCAGAGATATCCTACTTGCCTCTATAATATGACGTCATAGTAAGCTGTATGACGTGAAGTATAGAAATAATGATGTCTTAATATCTATATTTAAAGTTTTATTTCAGGTCCAAGAAATGAAAAAAATCATTCAAAAACATAATATAAACAAAATCTTGCCGTTTTTGGGTGGTATAAATTGCTAAGTATTTATCACGGAGGTTAAATACCAAACCCATGACGTCATAACTATTGATCAAATATTTGCCGAGTGAAAATTAAACGTGACGAGAATTCATGTAAACAAATATATAAATTAGGAGTTTTAAAGCATATACCGTGAATGTTATGTGTGATTCATAAGGAATTAAAGATTAAGAATTAGGTACGCTTATATTTTCTTATCATGTTTTCTGATAATGAACACAGGCAGTGCTTTGAAATCCCGATCAGCCTCTCCTCTGTTGTTCTATAACAACAAAGTGGCAAAAGTTCAACACTACGCCGCATACTTTGAGACATAATTTTTTGTTTGTATCGAAAGCTTGTATTCTATACTACTTGGAAAGTGCTGCTAGAATCGTGTGATTAACATGTATTGATGACAATTCCTTGATCGTTTGTACAAAATGTAATAATTTTGGTAAGGTTTCATGTGAAACTTTGGAATAATTTTTTCTGTGCCGGGAGAGTAGGATTCTAGCAGCACTTTTCATGACCCAGTGATGTTTTTCCATAATTATTTTCACAAAAAGAAATGAATTATCCCCGGGGTAGTGTTGAACTTTTCACTTTTTCATTAAGGCAATTTTTCTATTTATAGACTCACGTGATGACGTCGTAGTGGAGTGCTTCTTTTAGCCTAAGACTCAATGACGTCTATACATAGTAATAGTAAATGTTTTATCTATGTCTTTTCCGATTTATCAATGTTACATTTTACGAAAAAAGTCTAAATTCGCCGAAATATGATCTGGGTACTACCTTAACATACCTGCGGATGCATCATCAATATAACAGCTTCATTCTTTTTTGAGGATGGTAATGCAGAATCTGTATCAGGAACAAATATAGGTTTTGTATTTACATTTCGTTTAGCTTATTTAGTTATTTATTTAAAGATATTTTCATATTCAAATACAACAGCGCATTTCTTGGTCCTACGCTTGGTGGTATTCTAATTGTAAAAATTGGAGTTGATTGGTCTGCTACATGCCTTGCAAGACTGAATGCATGCACAGGAAGTATTTTTCAATGAATAATAGTTAATATAGATTAAACTCATAATCATTGAAGAACATCGAGGAAGAAATCATAGGGAAATCACACAGTTTTAATTGATTAAAATCAAATTCTTTGTAGAACACGGTGATTTACGAAATGTATTTCCATAATAAATACATGTATGTGAAGGTGCCAACTTCTTAAGGAGATTGAACAGAAACGATAAAAAATCTTACCGGTTAATGTCAGAATGGCTTCTACCATTAAACCATGCAAACTATGAAAAGTGTAATAAAGAATCATTGTTTGTAATATCACCCTCAAATAGCGAGTATGTCACGAAACTGATTGCAAATATTGAATTGATTTTATATTAAATACAATATATTTGTATATGAAGACGATAAATCATTCTTATTAAGTTTGATTTTAAAAATTTCCCTTTGATAATTCTCTAACTAGTTTTCTTATTTGGCCATTTGTAATACTGTGATATACAGGAATGAGGTTTTTTCTTTGATATGCGGTGCAGTTTTGATTTTAAGGCAACCCTGTGGTATTGTTCGGAATATGTCAGAACAGCATACGTAGAGCCTGTGGAAGACGACAAGACAAGAGAACACTGGAATAGGCATTGGAAGAGGCATCGTCAGCTATCATTATTATGGCATAAAATAATAACACTTTCAAGGGAATATTCTAGAAGAGCAGTGGCTGTGGAAGACAACCGAGATATCGTTTTAGGATATTAACGTATGACGCATATAAAGAAATTTTATTCTTGTATGTAGGAACAGCAGTGCCTGTGAAGGATGACAGGGGTATAATAAAGAGAAATTGTGTTCAATTTATTCATAAGATTGATTCCACGTGATACATTTATCATAAATATTCAAGATTCTAGTTATCGCTCTTTCTATCACGTGATTGAAATTATTATTTCCCCTTCTGGGCCCTCCTTTTACCTTGCCATTAGTTACTAGAGGAAAAATAAATAAATTTAAAGTCTAACGACATTCTAAAATTACTTATAATTATTATTATCTTGTTAGTTCTAAACCGTTTTCATTCTTTTAAAATTATAAACCAAAACTTTTGATATTAGTAATCCAAGTGATTTAAGTATGATTATATAAGAAAAACCATCCCCAGGAATCTTCCATAAATGCCTGGTAAGGTACCTCATTTTTTTTGTGAATCACAAATTCTTAGGAAAAAAATATATATCGTTGAGGAACATGTCGTGTGAACTTAAAAAAAATTGTTGAGAATTATGAATTAAATAAAGAACACATTAAATCTTGGTATTCCAGAATTCTTCCTTTTGAAGTTTATTTCATTGCATTTAATGATTACCTGACCGAAGTTCAAATCCATGTACTTTATTGACTTAGATCTGTGGATACGATTATCAGTACCTTTCCTAATAAGTAAATACATAATTGGGAAGACTAATGACCTTATGAAAACTGTATTGTCGCATACGTGCATCCATTTTTTTTAAAAGTGTTATCTGATTTTTTTTTTTTAATTATTAGTATGGATTTTGTAGGACGTTCCGTAATCTCATATCTGCTTTATAACCTACGCCATGAAAATAAGATGTCTTGTAAACCGATGTGAAGATCAAAGAGTTATAATATGAGTATTAATAAGTATGTATCCTAATCCTAATCGATATATTGAAAACAAGCTTAATAAAACCCATTAGATAAAAAAAAATTCATCCGAAAATTTACTTAACTGATACGTGCTATGATATGGTGTTTACAAAAAGATGTTATACTGGTACCTATTACCAAAATTACATTGTCTGGTGATAGTATGCATAGTGTTTCAAATGTGCACGGCGGAAAGGGGACTGGTCATGAAACGAGATCATTCTTTTGACAATTATCTTCAAAGCAGTGCAAATAATGTCATTTTAACCAATGTAGCTGTTGGCGGTAGAATTGCCTGTGTTCTGGAATGCCAAATGCGATTGCCTGATTGTGTTGCAGTTCTTCATCAGGACCAAGAATTACGTTGCATACTACTTAGAAGGTTTTTTAATGACTGGAATAGTTATCTTTCAAATAAAAGTGTAGCTTATTTTCTCCGGAAGTATGGTGAGTACATACCAATATACTAGTAAGTACCAACAATTAAGAACAACAACAAAAAAATATATGAATTTACAATGATTTTCGGATTTTTTGTGGCCTTATAAAATATATGCACTTTTGAAATATCTGGAAAATAATTTATACTGACTACCAGTAGTCTCTCTCTCTCTCTCTCTCTCTCTCTCTCTCTCTCTCTATTATACACACGTGTAGAAAATGGGTATTCATAACCTATTGGTATGTCTAAATCCTTCTTACACCTTGCAATAAATGTTCTGTACATTATTCTCCTAAAATTATTTATATTATTTTTTTTCAGAATGTAGTCCTGGTTGGAGAGAATTCAACAACCATTGCTACTTTTTAAATCAGACCATGAGGACCTGGAACGAAGCAAAGGCATGTTATGTTTCATCTGTTTTATTTTTTAAAAAAATTATGTTTAGAAATATCTCACGTTTTTTTTGAAAGGGTCTTTTTTTCGCCTGTTAGCCATAACGATCTAGTATACATATCTATTTTAAAACATTCTTTGTAGAAAAATTTTAAAGACTGAAAAATGCATTCTCGAAAATCGTTTTTAAAACAATCGTGTTTTATGACAAAAAATCAATGAAATGCAAAGCAAAATATATGTATATCTATAGGTGCATTTATGAAAAAAAAATCCATTTTCAATTAATGTCAAGCCCATGGATTGTTTACCTTTCTCAAACATAAGGTGAATCTAACTTAATGTTTTAGATGATGATGGGTTTTATCTAATGGTGTAAAATACCAATCAAGACTTTTGTCACTGTTATTGACATTGTCATTGTTATTGCAAGATCAGTCTCCAAAATATTAATCTGTAGGTGGAATGTCAAAGACACAATGCTTACCTTGTGGAGGTCGAGTCTTCTGACGAGAATACCTGGGTGACCTCAACTTACATCAAACCACCTGGTAATGCGTATCTTTCAATAACAATATCGTTCGTTATTGAAAGGACTGAGTTTCAGTTATTTATTTACTCTCCATATATTGTCAACGGGTTAGTAAATCAAAGATTAAAAACATCTGCTACTCAAGTGAACTGATTTTAGCAGGTGGTTGTTTCTACTTTGTAGCCATTTTATATAGAATTAGTGTTCACATAACACTATTGTTTATCACTTTGTTTTATTTTCTCACAGACCAATGTCCTGTTAGTTGGTATTGCTCAGTTTGGTCTGGAGGGATGTACAGCACAACAAAACAGAACCATGTTTGGCAAAATTCAGAAGCCATTGCAAGTTATACAAATTGGGATTCAGATCAACCGTCAGGTGGAGGCCAAAACTGCATCAATATATGGAAAGGTGGAAAGTGGGACGATGCATTTTGTGGAGCGCAGTTTGAGTTTGTGTGTGAGAAACCCTAATAAAGAAATGTGTAGAAAAATTTTAACAGTTGATCGGAGAATGAAAGTGAATACCCTTAATTGTGAAACTGGAGTCTTTATCACCTCTGTTTTGCAAAGAATCTATAACCAAACTTCTAAGATTATGTGTGGAATGTATTAATGCTCATGGACACAGTTTCAGCCAATTTTTTTCAAAACAAATATGTAAACGAGATTTTTGAGGTTGTGATATTTTAGAATCTTGTTGAGACATGATTAAGATATGAGACGGACATGTATTATGCACATAATATAATACTATTTCTTAATCTGAAACTTTCTGAATTTCTGAATGTATTAATTATTGTAAATGATTCCAATATGCAATAAAAATGGGAAAAAATATTCTTATTCGATGGGTCTTCCAAACATTGATGGACTAACTCCATAAAATGAAAACCATATGTTATGCCAGTGACATTTATTTTTAACATAATAAAAAATCATAAAATTTTAAAAATTCAACTCGATATTTTGAAATATTATTTCTTTATATTCAAATAAAAAGGCAAGCTATGGTCATCCGGCGCTATCACCGATTACGTGCTTCGGCGTCCTAAAACGTCACTAGTTCATGTTTCCAATGTGGTACGTACATGTACATGTACTCTTTCCACTTCATTGCGTTTTTCATGACGAGGAGTAAAATACAGGGTGATCCTGTCCTCTTTAGAAGACCAGAGCTTTGCAAGGCTGAGGAAAGAGAAATGGAGGTTCTGCATCACCGATCACTATATAGGACATTCTTCACGTCATCCCTCACTTTGAATAATATAGATAAGAAAGCCCAAAAGTGCAAACCAAAACTAAATAAAAAACGAAAATACCAAATAAAAAACGAAAATTAAAATTAAAAAAAATATATTAAATAAAAAAGAAAATACAAAATAATTAAACTTAATTATTAAATAAAAAACGAAAGAATTATATAAAAAACGAAATTATTATAATTATATAAAAAAGCAAAAATACAATATAAAAGACGAAATTATAAAATAAAAACGAAATAACAAAATTAAAATCGAAATTAATCATAAAAACAAAAAATAAAAAACGAAATTATTAAATAAAATATTTTACTTATTCTGCACTTTATATGTTCGCCTAAAAGAAAATCTTTTGCTTTACCAACTTTGACACGCTCTTCACTTTTTCGACCCCTCTTTGAGAAAGCAAATGTATTTCCCCTTTCTTGTTCTTTCTCTCTCCTAGAGCTTTGAAATTCTTGAAAGGTTGGTAATGTTTCATTTCTTGTTTTATCGGTGTCTGTAGTTTCTCTAAGTATTTGATTCGAATTTAGATACCATACATTGTATGTATTTGTGATGGCTTGATTGATTGGTTGTATGTTGTTTTACGTCCCATTCGAGATTTTTTCACTCATATAGAGACGTCACCGTTGACCGATGAAGGCCTTTACTCGGCACTCAGGGCCATTGAGCAATGCGGGATCTTTATCGTGCCAACGCCTGCCGTGACACGGGGCCTCGGTTTGTAAGGTCTCATCTGAAGGGCCCGCAACTTTCACTTCAAAGTGCCGAGCGCATGGCGAAGGAACAGTTGATACCTATTTTTGTATCGACTTAGGTCCGTCGTGGCCGAGATTCGAACTCACGACCTTCCGATCATGGAGCAAGCGCTCTACCGACTGAGCTACCATGAAAGGTTATTTGTGATGGATATCTCATTCGATAGCTAGCACTTGTTTATGAAGAGATAGAGAGAGAGAGAGTATTTCTACACACCCAAAGACTTCATAATTTTCTTCCCTCACTTTGAGCAATAATTATAATTTTGATTCGGTGATCCACAGGAAGAACAAAATGGCATTTTAAAATTATGTCCTTGTATTGAGACATCAATATGAAATGATGAGAATAGTGTTGGAAAAATCTCCACAAAGTTTTCAAATCATTCTCGTTATTGTTTCAACAATCTAAGATTTATGGGTATACAAATAGGGCGCTAGGTTTAGTTCAGAGGGAATCCAATAATACGATACGCTAGGTCTTAATATCCTTTCAGCGATAAATGAGCTCTTTTGGAATGTCATTAATTTTATATAAGTAGACACAGCCATCTTCACAACGTCTGGATGACGATACCACACATGTACAGCAAGAAATTACCGTTAACAAGATTAAACATTTATGATTCATTTACTTCAAAAATGTGAATTATAAGGCTGTAGACAAATAGTTTTTTGTTTTTTTTTTTTTCATTTCCCCATATTTGAATCTCTTTTTCCCTCACTCTCGCGTTTTATTTTGTAATTTCGTATTTTTATTTCGTATTTTCGGGGTTTTTTTTAAATAATTTCTTTTTTATTTTGCATTTTCGTTTCTTCCTTTAATTATTCTTTTTTTTCTATTCTTTTTTTTTTCCCGTTTTTTATTCAAGAATTCCGTTTTTTTTTTTAATTTGTATTATTACGTTTTTTTAAATTAGTATTTTCGTTTTTTTATTTAGTACTTTCGTTTTTATTATAGAATTAAACGTTCTTTTTTTTTTTTTTTTTTTTTTTTTTTTTTTTTGTAAAATTTATCGATGTGTAAACTCACGCCTTTGTACTCACAAACTGAATAAAAGTGCGAAGCACTTTTATGTAAAGTTTGTGAGTACAAAACCTTGAGTTTACATATCGATCAATTCTTTAAAAAAAAAAAAAAAAAAAAAAAAGGAACGTTTAATTCTTAGAATTCCAATATTTCCTCGGCATTATAATTATTTCTCTTCGAAGCCTCCGTACATTATGCCGCTACAACTTTTGTTTATGGTGTAGGCATACATTGCGCCGCACTTATGAAAATAAAACTTAATCCTGAGGAACATTGATAAAATTAACTTTAATTGTGAAAACATACAATAAAACAAACTCATTAAACACCAAGTAGTATTGTTTAAGTCAACAAATATCAGGAAAACAATTAATAACCTTCCATAATCGTTTTCAAGTATTTGTCCTTGACATGTTTTTTTTTTTTATAGTAGGCCAACAGAAAGCGTCACTGGTTGAAATGGAAGTGGCATTCCTTAAACATTTAATATGAGCCAAAACCTGTTAAAAGACGGGACTCTCGGTTGATATTGACCCTTTCGTTTGTTACAAGAGCTGGTAGAGATACAAGGGGTGGACAGACTGGATCAGGTAGGCCTGATTGCGGGTGATTACGTTGCGATTACTTGTTCGACCCGCGTGGTTTCGACACGAATCCATGTTCGATCAGAGTGGTTTCGTTCTGAAGCAATTAGTTAAGAATTAATTGCTTCTGAACGAAATTAATTAACATTTCAACAGTTTTACATTTTATTTTTTCGTCTACATTTTTTTATCGACCACGTATATTTGTGTTAATTATCGTATGTAATTTAATTTGGAGAAACGTACGTTGTTTAGACAGTGCATATGTGATCACGGTACATTTGAAGAAGTATTTGATTAATTTTTATGGAGAACTGTTCAAATATAATTCATTACTAAATTAAATTTATCAACATCTATGCTCCGCGATAGTAGAAAAAAATGTTAGGAAACCTTCTCACTGCATGTTGACTACACATCCGGAAACAACTACCTATTGACACGCACATCTCTGAAGCCATACAATATACAGCTACCGAATATCCATTTGTTTACCGCACAGTGTATACCCCTGTACTCAGGTTTTGACATGTAGTGATATATATTAGAGTAGGTCGAAACCACTGGGGTCGTAACCACGCTGGTCGAACACGGAATCGGAACGTAACCACCCGACACCGTAGGCCTAGAGCAGGAGCTGGGACGACAGGTAAGCCTAAGTTCTCTCTCCAGCAGCAAAGCTTCCAAGAACAGAACTGATATTTTTTTTATTGAACGCTAGGGCGACGGCAATACGATTTTGGAGACTCTTCACATTTGTGATCCGACATAAACATGATGTTTCTGTCTGTCAGTCCTGCGTCGCTCATGGCTGTTATGGTCGTTGTTCTCAAAGAATGTGCTGTTTATCTTTTTGTTGTAGAATTTTTACATATGTCTGGCATAAATGTAATAAACCTTTTTAGTTTCACCGGAATATTTGAGTACCAAATTTCGTGACCCTCGGGATACTCTGAATGCAGTGCATCTCATTAAATAACGAGACGGCTTTGGGATCCGAGTAAGATCCGTTTTAATCCAAGATTCCTCTGACTCTAACCCCTGCTTTTATATTTTGACATGTGCAGGGGAGAGTCAGAGCGGAGGCCATATTGAAAATTGGGAATTCAGCGACACCAGCTGGTGTCGCGACTCTGCCTACCTTTTACAACTTTATTTCGCGGAACTAACTTCCGAGACGCGAGAACTCAGTAAAGGGATGATTCTTCTACAACTTAATCATCACTAATATGATGCTACCGCCATTTAAACGGCCCTATCACCGATAAATGAAGCATCACTTGAATTAGGTCGCCTCCTCGCCATTCGATTTCTTTGTGCATGACGTCAGCACACAAATACACAAACAAATATCACATGAACAAATCATGTGTGGTGATGCTGCCAATTTTTTTTCTCATATTAGCAAAGAGGCCACTTTCGACAGTTGTTTTCCTTATCAGTAAATAAATGTAACATCATTTTGTTGTTTTCTGTGCTTTTTCACCGCACCCTCATGTTTTTGCGAAAACTCCACACGTGTTTTGACCACGTGTTAGTTTGAAACCGATTGGAATTTTGTGTATTTGTGTGCTGACGTCATGCAAAGAAATCGAATGGCGAGGAGGCGACCTAATTCAAGTGATGCTTCATTTATCGGTGATAGGGCCGTTTAAATGGCGATACCATCATAGACTCTCCCCTGCACATGTCAAAATATAAAAGCAGGGGTTAGAGTCAGAGGAATATAAAAGCAGGGGTTAGAGTCAGAGTAATCTCGAATTAGACCCGTTTTAGATATAAAAAATATCACAGATTGGACAGGGCAGATGATTGTATCAGTGGCATTCATACGTTT